GCTTGGTTGCTTGCTTGGTTGCTTGCTTGGATGCTTGCTTGGATGCTTGCTTGGATGCTTGCTTGGATGCTTGCTTGGATGCTTGCTTGGATGCTTGTTTGGATGCTTGCTTGGATGCTTGCTTGGATGCTTGCTTGGATGCTTGCTTGGTTGGTTGCTTGCTTGCTTGGTTGGTTGCTTGGTTGCTTGGTTGCTTGCTTGCTTGGTTGGTTGGTTGGTTGCTTGCTTGCTTGGTTGGTTGGTTGGTTGCTTGCTTGCTGGCTTGGTTGGTTGGTTGCTTGCTTGGTTGGTTGCTTGCTTGGTTGGTTGCTTGCGTGCCCGCCCGCCATGTCCGCCCATCTGCCCGCTTGCTCGTCTGTCCTTCCACTTGCCCTCCTGACATTGCCAGTGCCTAAATTGTTCACACGTTTTTCTGGTCACTCTCAAGGCCCTCAAATTTGATGGAGTTATTTAAATTGGAGGAATGGCCATCATTCCCTGAGGGAATGAGAGACTCCCCCCCCAGGAAACCTGTCAAGAACTTGCTTTGTTCAGGACCAATACTCAAAACATCTGTTGAAGGTGTGCTCCCCTACTAATGTCTGTTTTCTTCACAAACAATAATGACTGCTGAAGAAAAGTTCCACTGTATTTACTAAATTTACATTAGTATTTGGTGTTCAATAATTGTTCTTCTTTCAGGCTTAATACAATTAATGAAGGGAAAGTTGCAGTTGGAGATTTGACTGGATTTTTGCCTTGCACACCCAATGGAGTCATGGAACTTATTAAAAGGTATGTTATATTTTTAATTTCGTTAATAGAAAATTTTCTTTTGCGTGATCGGTCTTTTCTTCAGAGCACTTTCAGGCGGGAGTTCCCATCATTTTTCTTGCTTCGACCCCTTTTAAAATAACATTAGCTTCATCGACCCACTTCATTATTTCCTTTAATTTACAGAATACAAAATTATCATAATACAAATAATTGAAAATAACTTACTTTAAGATAACAATTAGACTAATTAGAACAAGGTTAGGAAAAAAGTATTGGATTTTTTAAACTTTTAGTATTATTATACTTACAATTATAAACAAATTTTCAAAAACAAAATCTTATATTATAATTGCACTCATTTTATTTTATTAATGTGCATGATGTGAAATTCCAAAATGTGAGTGAATTTGTAATGCTTTATCTGTTTTATGATTATACAAGTAAAAATAATAATAAAATTCATAAATATTTTTGTAATCAATGGAATCTTCATTGTCATTATACCAAGTAGTCATAGATATCCACCCCTTGACTATCATTGACGCCCAGGAGGTCAATACTGACCCTGTTGGGAACTTATACTTTAAAATAACAACAATAAAAAATAACTTTGCTGGAAGAATGACTCATAACAGCTTTTGAAAACATAGCATTAACATTTGAACCCACAATTCCAACTTGAAACAAGATTCTTCCTACCAATAACATTGTTGCAGTGAGAATAGCACATAATGCAATTTGAATTAAATCTTGTTCAGAATGCCTCATAGTAGGAAGATATACCTAGAAAATTTACTATGGTGTTTACCAGATTTACTGTGAAGTGCAGAATTGTTAAAAGAATTTATTATAAACTAAGGGGGAAATCATTAAAAAAATCAAAAAGGAATCTTTATTTAAATTGATTTTCATGTAAATAATATGTATATTACTAATAAATTAAAAGATACTTATAAAGGACTTTTTGGATATGTAATTTTTTCAGTTGATCAAAAGTTGCACAATATTATTTATTTATTTGTACATACGAGAGCAGAAAACTGATATAACTGCAACTGATGTATATTTAACAAAGTTTGAATTAATTGACAGTGTAATGAATGCTAATGATTTATAATCTAATATCACAAAATAGAGGCAAGAGTAAATTATCCTTATTCCTTTTACTTTCTTGCATAATGATTACACAATACGAAGACAGTACTATAAGTATCTGTAGGAAAAGTTGCGATTTTTCTACAGAAAAACTCTTATAGCCAAGCACTGGTAATGAAAAAGTGGATAAAACATGATCCTATAGTAAATTTACTTGCTCTCACATGTTGTGGAGGCAGAATCCACATTTGGTAGGCCCTTAATACTGCAAAAATGGATTATGACAAAATGTCTGACCATCTGTCTCTGACTGCCTGTGTTTGTTTAAGTCCATCTCCATCAGTCGGTCTCTGTTGGTATATCTCAGACTGTCTTAACTCTGGCTGTGTTTGTCGCTGTCTAAGTGTCTTTTTCTGTCTGTCTCTGTGAACAATACTAGTGACTAAAATGGTAATCAGGATTATCACCTTAAAAAAAGTCCGTCATTTTGACTGATGTTGCAGCTTCTTGAATTTGAAATAGATATTTTGATTTTTAGAGGATCTTTTAATAAATCCACAACACTTAAAAAAATGACTGACTTTTTTGTTACATTTTTTCTTTAGAGTAAAATATGCATAAAGAACTGGCTTATGTCGCATTTTCGTTCAACTCTCTGAATTTTCGAAAATTTTTTCTGCAATCTTCCTACAACTATGATGTTGATGATAGAAATTTTGTGCCTTGATGAAATCTAACATGAAAAACATATTTAAATTAAGTCGATTATAATTCTTCGAAAATATGGGGTTTTGCATGAAACCGGCAATTTTTAAACAATTATTTTCTCAATAACTGTTCTGAAATATTATTTTCTCACACTTATTTCGCAAGAAGAGAAAGTATTGTAATCATGCGCAGGAAACCGGCGAATTTTCGGCACAAAAACTTTTGTTTCCGGTCACTAGTAACGAAAATGTGGATAAATCTGAATGTATCTGAATCCGAATGAATCTGAATGTAAATCTGATTCCTGAATGCATAGTAAATTAAATCCTCCAACACTTTGTGTAGTCCGGTGTTTTGTGGCTCCTTGGAACCTAAAAATCGATTGGCGGGTAAATATCTGTTCGTCTGGGTGTGTCCTTTGTCCGTCAGTCCGGTTTTCTATCAGTGTGTCCGTCCGTCCATCCGTTTGTCTATCCGCCTCTTTGCCTATCCGTCCCTGTCTGTCCGTCCGTCCGTCCGTCCGTCCGTCCGTCCGTCCGTCCGTCCGTCCGTCCGTCCGTCTCTGCAATTCGCAGTTTTCCGTCGCACGATGACAATACTTTCTCTTCTTACGTTAGTAGGCGCGAGAATGTAAAAATTGATGATCTTCTCCCCCACAAGTCACATTAGTTTGTTTTGTTTTTTTGACAAAATTAATCTAAATAAATTTGGGGCCATATTTAGAAAATATTTTAAAATGTCACAGGGGCTTTATGTAAAGTACTCCCAAAATTTAAAGAATGATTTCGAGAAGGAAATCGTAGAGCTTTTCTGTCGGGTCAGCTCGACCGGGGAATATTAATTTTGGGAAAAAAACATGCGAACAATGTAGGCGCTATTGATTACGGACAGACCGACCGGTAGAGGGACGGACGGGCCGGGCAGAGGCTGTTGGACGGACGTTTTAGTAGGGAGAAGAAGAAGAAGAAGAAGAAGAAGAAGAAGAAGAAGAAGAAAAAAAAAAAAAAAAAAAAAAAAAAAAACCAGCACTTTTTCAGAGGATCCCAAAACTTGTATTTCTGTTGAAATGTCGAAATCGATTTTCCACCAGATTACAATATCTCACTAAATTATATTATTCCGCTGTAAACATGTGGAAATAAAAGGACTATAACGCGACGCGACGGGACGCGATGCGATGGGATTCGATGGGATGCGTCTCAAATATGGCGTGGGTGGCTTTAGAAAGAAAATGCGTGATTAAAAATGTTTTAAGTGTCTAAAGTCGGTCAAATGCCACCTATTCTCTCGTTCACTGTAATCGAGGAAAGCTGAACGAGAGTGATGTCTGCGAAAATCTCTTGTAAAGAGAACGCGTTCTCGAGAACGAAGCTAGTCTACAGAGCCAGAACCGGCAACGGAGGTGCACGCCAAAGACTTTCAGAATTAATGGTTTGCTGCATACGGTGTTCTCGTCATGGGTGGATCCAGCCGATCATTTTTTGAGGGTGGGGGCATTGTAGATTTTTATTGAATAATAAGCAAATTTGTTCTTATATAAGAACATACAACATATTATATTGCCTGCATATACAGAGAACGAGAATGAATACCTAGAACAGGGGAGGGGGTGCATGAGCAGTTACGCCGCAGGGGAGAGGGATGGCGCTGGTTAAGGGAGGAGGTGGAGGATGACAAAAATAAGAAAATTGCATTGCACATACTATTTATTAAGACTAAATGCTACGCTAGGTGAAATGGGGAGATGAAATGTGAATGAAACGAAATGAAATACCATGAATATACAAAAATGAGATACAAATGACTGACTGTAGTTTACATAAACCTCAATTATTGAATATAATTTGTCACCGTGAAGGTTCAGTCGAGATATGCATCACATATAACTGGGTATACGGCATTGCTAAATACATGGTACCTGGGTGGCTGCGGCATGCGTGGACCTCAGGGTTGCTCCTCTCCCGGGCGAAGCGGGAATGCAGGTGTCCCACACAATTCGCCGGTTACGGGGAGCGTCTGTCGCTCCGCAGCATGACCAAGGACCTGGCCCTAGGTGGGCCTTGGCAGCAGGAGCGTGCGTGCGGCACACACGGTCTCTCGCCAGCAGGTGACTGACGGTATGTGAGTCGGGTCTGCTCATACCGCACTGTAGTATCCACCGATGACAGATTGACTATGACTATATGCGGCGACAACCCGTTTAGTGGCTGCTCGTCGAAAACAAGGTAGCGCACATAATTCACCGATGTACGTGCCGAAGGCAGTGTTTTCACGTGCGCGAAGCGCATTGAGCTTTAGTATATGAACTCTGACCATGAGCGCTGGCCGGCGGTGTGGCTTTTGTGCCTTTCGCGTTGGTTCTAGCAAGTCTGCCCCAAGGACAAGTGTATTTCATTTCCTTCCATTCATTTCCTTCCTTCCATTTCGAAGGTTGGAGGCTGCAGCCCCTTTGGGCGAAAGCGTGGGTTGCCGGCGGTGGAGACGGCAAGCTGTGGGTGCGACGGGCGCACCCTGCTGGAGCGACCGTCTCCGGAGGGAGGGAGCGACCACACGCCTTTGCGCGAGGGCTGTGTTGTGGACGGAACATAGACTCCCGGGCTCGAAGCCGAAGGCGAGAATTACAAGAGGGGAGGGAATTGATTGGTCCGTCCTCGACACGAATGTCCGAGTTAATTTTCTAGTGGAAGTGGGCACAGGCGATGCACTGCGCGAACATATTCGTCTGTGGCAGTTTTCACCTCGACTACTCTTACACGATTGTCAACCCCAGGCATGAGCTGTGTAACCTAGGAGCCACTGACAGGGCGGGAGCTGCTCGTCAGCAAGTAACACTACGGTATCTAATTTTAAGTTATGGGACGTGGATTGCCACTTACGTCTTCGCTGTAATAAACTGATATGGTTTTTTGACCAGTGGTCCCAGATCTGCTGATTATTGCCTGGATTCCTTTCCATCGTTGCATGTGGTCATTATTCTTGGCGGCTTGCTTACGAAGCGGAAGTGCTTCGATTGGTCGCTGAATAAGAAAGTGGCCAGGAGACAGGTAATTTGTGTCGTCTGGATCTTCAGTCAATGGCGTGATAGGCCGAGAGTTAAGAATTGCTTCAATTTTAGCAAAGTTGAGGGTGGACGGAACATCCTATG